TCTTGGCTTGGAGAGAACCCACCTTGACACGAAGCTCCCCGGCCTCAGCTTCTAGCTTCTTCCGCTCCTCGGCAAATGCTCGCCGTTCAGCTTCCACTGCCTGCTCAGCTGTTTCCTTGGCCATCAGCAGGCTTTGTTCCTTTGCCTGCCTGGCCTCTCTGAGTTTCAGGCTGTATATTCCCGCCTAATGATCAGAAAGTAAAATATAAGCACATGATAAGTTATCAAGCAAAGAAAAGGAAAGAGTGAATTATGAGCATAAGATAATGAGCTACCTTCAGGACAGTCAGAGCAATACACTCCTCGGCCTCCTCCACCGGTGTCGGGGGAAGATTGTGGCCATTGAGAAATCCTGACGTGGACCAGATCTGGCTCGCCGGACAGCCACCCCGCTCCAACATCTCATGAGCAGGATCGTAGAGGGAGATCCGCTTGAACTGACTAGCCAAGTCAGCCTGATGGGCAGCCACCTCCTCAGCAGAAAAATGGTGGGACTGCTGGTCAGAAAAAAGCTGATCCATCAGCGTGTCAGCATGAGTTTGCTGATCAGGAGCAACCTGCTGCACAGGTTCTACATCCCGAACAGGTTCAGACTGCTCGGGGACGGGGGCGGATTGAGAGGATGTCCCCTGATCGGCCTTCCTCAACCTCTTCCTCTTTGTCTTCCTCTGCTGCTTGGGAGGAGAAGTTGGTGGCTCATCATCAAATCCCACAGTGAATAGCCTGCTATCATCCATGGCCGGTTGTTCGGGGTTATCTCCTTCGGACTCTGATTCGCCTTGCTGAGGAGTTGGCAAAACAAACAAAGTGCAAAATTAGTACCGAGCGGTTCGCACATGGATAAACAAAATTGTTTCTCACACGGGAAGGACCGCCCGGACCATGGTACTTGGTTTTCAGTCAAGAAACCCAGGAATACGGGCAGTACCTATCCCGGCTTTAATAAGCCGTTCGGGAGTCAGATATGGCATAATCTGGAAGCAACCACCCGCCTCCACAGCAATGATATCCTGGCTAAGGTCTTCAGAGATGAACGGTTCGGGGGACTTTGGCGGAAAGGCATTCCACTTTCTTGGGATTAGGCCGTTTGGGACAGATACAAAAAAGAACCGATCTTTCCATTCCTTGATGGAGGAGGGAGCCTTGGAGAACAAAATATGACCTGATCGGGAACTCGCGACAAGATAGCCCTGGGCTTGTTGTGGGATGACCGAGAAAAAGTAATGAAACAGATCTAAGGAAGGGGTCACCTTAGCTTCCACGCAACGACAAATAAAACCAGCCATTGCCCGGTAGGAGTTCGGCATTATTTGGGCTGGCACTATATTGTAATAATTTAAGAGGGAAACGAAGAAGGGGTGAAGGGGGAACCTAAGGCCAGCCTTAAGGGAATCAAAATGGACCACGACCATCCCTGGGAAGTGGCGCATTGGGTGGAGCCCCGATTGGAGGCGGAAGTTCACCGAATCAGGAAGTAACATCTGGATTTGGGCCCGGTTCTGGGCCGTGAGCTTTTGGCGCCTAAGCCTAATCAGGGCTAGGTCAAGCTTATGGCAGGGAACGCCGCTTGGAGGACCGGCCTTCATAACTTCCAATTCATCCCCCGATTTGGTGCCATCAGGGTAAACGTCGGAGGAGGAAGAGGAATCATCACCGTTAACTTCCGCCGGAATAGGGACAACTTGCAGCACATCATTGGGGTTTTCCTCTGGGATTGCAGTGCCGGAAGTAGAGGGTTCAGATGAACGAAGGGGTGCCATTCTCACCGAACGAGGGAACTAAACAGTAGAAGGGAGTTCGAAGGATACCTGAACAGAAGCAGCGGAAGAAGCTCTAGAGAGAAGGCAGAGTACTAAGCCGGAGATATCAAATTTCGAAACCCAGAATCAAAACCAAAAGAGCCCATTTATACTCTGTCACGCCGATTCAGCTGCCAATCAGAAGAGGACACGTTTTTTGTAATGATGACAGAGACACGTGTCGCACAGAGAATCCTTCTCAAGTAATCATGACGTTTATCGGAGAAGTGAAACGGCAGTTGCAGATAACCGTCAAAATATGCCTCGGGAACCGGCGGAATGCCATCCGATACTCACCCGAACAGCATTCGGGCAATAAACTTATACTTCCTTATGCACTCACTACCGTTCGAGACATAGGAAGTGGGGGACTAGTGTTGGGATATTGGGTCCAGGCCCAATATCCCTAGGCCCAAATCCGGGAAGAAGCGGCAAGCCCAAAGAACTCCCGAACGGCATTCGGGATAAAACTTATACTTGGAACATTCTGGGTAACGATTATGCCAAGGTATCAAGGCCCAAATATCGATCGGCGTTCGGGATACTTCAGGTAGAAATTATCACCTATGACGGGGTCCCACACACCGAACACCTTGACCGAACGGGCAATCAACAAGTGGAGGCCGCATTTAATGCTGGATCATGGCGGCAGCAAGTGGGGGCATGGGTGCTTACATGGCAGAGGTGATAGCCTACCAGATTCGACCACGTGTCCATCTTACCCATCCCCATTTTAGTATAAATATCCATGTTTAGATCATTGTAAGGGGGTTAGCATTTTAATACTCAGAGCTTAGCAATAGATTTACATCTCCCATCCTTGTAATCTCATATTCATCTACCGTTCGGGTAATTTCAGTGTAATTGCTTAATTACAGAATATAAGTAAGTTCTTGAGTTGGATATTATTTCACTATTTTATATTTTACACACATTTCAACCCTACCCAATATCCCTACAATATCCAAGGCTTGTGTTGGGCTTTCGGATCTTCGGGAATAAACCTCAACAATTTTCAAAGATAAGAAAATAGCTTGAAATAGCAGGTCATCAACTGGTCAGGGACTAGTGAATGAAGATGAGGTGCAAAGGTTGGATTATTCATGAATAACCAAAAGGTTGGATTATTGTAAGAAGAACGCTAAAAGGTTAGATTATTAGTTTCCATTTTCCCTTTTATATTTGAAAATAAAATTTTCAAATAACATACTATTGTAGTACATGTTGACAATTTTTTGCAATATACTTTATTTAAATAAATTTTGGCCCCACCTGAATTGCAATGCTAGATCCACCCCTGGTGATGAGCTAGGCCGGCCTTTCAAGTTTTTACGTGTATTATACATCTTGTGGTAATAATGTTATGGGATATGCCGATATGCCGGCCAACAACTTACACCAAAGGGGTTAAATATTCCTCCGCACGTTGAATGTTTAATGGATTCTCTCATATATCATCCAGACAACAATCCCAAAACTGTGATCCAGAAACGTCCCAATCACCAGCAGCAGCAGAGCAGAGCAACTGTTACATTGTTTTTTCTTTCTGGATCTGTATTTACTGATGAGTGGCATGCATATTGCAGGCTCAAAAGGAAATATGTGCCTTTTGAGTGCCCCAAAAAGTGTAGGGGAGGTTTTCATAAAAGCTAATTAAGGGTTGGATACTTTTATTGCTAGCTGGTGTCTTGTCTGGTAGCCAGTTCAATAATGCTGTAGCTATCTATGCCTAGCTACCCAGCTAGGGGGACCAGACATAACTTTCTTCTCCCTTAGCTCAATTCTCACCACCATGTTCTGGTTTTGCTTCTTTGGCTCCATACCTTAACATTCAGCTGATCTATAAGTCATAGGGGTATATTAGGGGGTGTGAAAGTGAAACCAATAATTGGCATGTACTTAGCTAGCTGCTTGGGATTTTTTTGCTCCTCTTTCTCTCTTACCAGTTACCACCCAAGATTCAATTCCAATTGAAATCAGTTTCTAGTAATAACTCTCATATAAATTCTTTTATAGCATGCTGTTGTGAGTTGTGGCAGTCTGATATTGCTTTCAATTATGACATACAGTGTTCTCATAGCAATGAGTCGTAGCAAGGCGTCAACGCCAAGTTTTAAGTCTTTAAGCCTAAGCGAGAATAGGCAAAGTTAAGCGTGAAAAATATCGCTATAGAGGGGAATCATTTATGTAAAATTATTTTTATTATGTGTTATGTGATTGTTTATATTGTTTGAAGGATTTATAATCGAATAAATTACACTTTTGGTCCTATGAGTATTGCATCAATTCCACAATTGATTCACGTCTTTGACTTTGACCACTTTTGATATCTGACTATTGTGTTTTTGCTCACATATGGCCCTTCCGGCAACTATTCCGCTGGTTAAAATCGCTGGAAAGGGACAACAAATGATCAAGAAACATTAGTCAAGTACCAAAAGTGGACAAAATGAAAGACGTGGACTAAATATGGAAATGACATAAAACTCGTAGACCAAAAGTGGAATTACTTCTTTGTAATCAGGTATTTGAAGAGGAATAACCAATCATGGCAATGAGCGGCTATTAGGATCACCACTCAACTTGCAAATTTCAATAAGAATGATGTTCAAATGTTCTCCAAAAATTCAAATTCAACCACTCAAATTGCATGTGAAAGAAACTTCAATAAGATACAAATGTTAAGAACAAGTCATGACTAGAATATAAAAGGATTTAGGTTAAACAAGTCGAAGACATCATATGTTCGCCGGTGAGATTTGAGGTGGAACGCCTTTCACTATTTCAGCTATATTTTTACTTGGATAATAAAAAATGAAGTTATTTAAGTTGTCGTGGATATAAGATTTGATACTCTACAACTTTTATGAAGACAGTGTAACCAAATTCGTCATGTAAAAAGATACTAGGTCCAGGTTCTATGGCGCACACACATACCATATCATGTCATAAACCGTGTATGTTTATCAAATTTTCTGCCGTGTATGATCAGTAGGTAATCACGGCCAATAAACCCGCCGCCAGGTGTATAGACCGTGTGTGGTGTGTATTATTAACTCACAACTTTTGGCGTATACAAAAAGTGTACATTTTTTTGTACACTCGTCTATGTACACGGACGGTTCCTAATTTTTTTAAACGAGTTGTGTATTTACATGAAAAATAGGGAGTGTACACAACCGAGTTTCCCCCCTCCAGATTTTAAGCTTAAGCAATCATTTTTAAGCGTAATTTTACCTCATTTTAAAGAAATTATATCACTCTTTATTGGCAAGCGCCCTACCTCACGAAAGAACACTTTTTCGGTTCGATAAGAATGAGATTATTGCGTAGTATGATTCTTCTTATTCCTATTTTCGTTCTCGCTTCTGTAAGAATTTAATTAATTAATTAACATCCAATAATTAAGTCCTATCGATTTGCCTTAATACGTTTCTTTTTCTCTCTAGAGTTGCCGCAAGGCAACTCCTAGTTTGGATTGTCCGGCGGTACGGTGATCAATTTGATGAAGAGTGGTGTTTCGAGCTCGTTTGCAGTCCTATCATGGTTGATGAAGAAGCCGAAGTTGCAATTTCCTTAAGTATGTTTTCAAGCCGGAGTATGGTTTCGATTCAGCAACAAGGGATGTCAAAAGAGGATATCGTCATTCAATACAAAATCATGACTATTGAGGCAGATGAGTGGTGGGCGCGTCCCCCTCCTGAGCCGTCGCCATGGAGTGCAAGTAAGGCTAGGGTTTGGAAGAAGATGTGTACTCTGTTTTAATTCCGTTTTATTCTGTTTGCGTTTTTCTTTCGAATTGCATGTTGTTTTGGACGTGTTCTTATTTCCTAGTAAAGAGATTCTAGTTTATAAGTCAAGTGATGAGAAGTCTGTTTTGCTAGTCATTGGCTCAGTTAAGCTCATTTCAGGATCAACGAATAGTATTGCTTCTACAGAGGTGATATATTCTAAGTCTGGTTCGAGGGCGGACGGCAGGCATAAAACTTTTTATCATTTTGTTTACTTTTTTCCTTGGATTGTTATTTTGATTTATTATATTCGTTGGATTTAAGGATAAAATAAACATCCAACAATCAAGTCAGGGAACTTTATCTATACGAGTCAAAATAGGAATACAACTAGGAATTGACATACTACTAAGTTCTAAGAAGCTCAGAGAAATAATTGAACAATCAGCTCAAAATTAGAAAACTGGGTACGTGGGTAACAACGTTTTATATACAAGTATCACACTATCAACTAATGTTCTTTGACAACTGGGGCGATGGTGGTAGCCAGTGGTAGGTGGCCGTTGACCTATCTTTCATCAGATACTTATACACAACTCAATCTGGACGATTTATTATTAATACTCCGTATATAATTTCAAAGTAAAAACATACTAAAAGTTATGAATTGTACTAAAAATTAATATGTAATCACAAAAAACTTGTACTCCCCCATCCCAAACATACATATTCCTATCTACACTCAAATTCTTTTTAGTAAATCAAATTTACATATTCAAAAATTACATTAAAAGTTTTACAAAGTTGCAAAAAAATCAAATTTGATAAAAATTTGATATATAAAATAAGAGATTAAGACTGATTTGTGTTGATCAATTGAATAAGAAGTTGGAGTGTAGGCCGTATTTACCATCATTTTCATTCACATTGCTTATCCTCACTATTCGGTTAAAATTTGTAAAACCAACTCAAGCGTATCAAAGCATTAGAGTTGGTTTGCAAATGTTTTAAAAAAAGCACTTCTCAGCTTTTGTGTTAAAAAAAGCACTTATTTTACCAAACACTACCAACTTTTATTTTTCTCGGCTTTCGTGTCAAAAGTGCTTTTACTTTTTCTATTACACAAAAAGTACATATTTTACCAAACACAGCCAACTTTTACTTTTCAAAATCACTTTTTTCTCAAACATTATCAACTTTTAATTAATCACTTCTTCCCATTTTATTAAAAAAAGAACTTTTTAAAAAGTAGAAGCTGTTGCAAATAGACCTTGTTGAAGTTTAGTCCCGTAGATCCGAAAGCCCAACACACGCTTTGGATATTTAAGGACGTTAGGTTCGATATAAAGGTGTATAAAATACTCCCTCCGGTTCACATTCTTCTTTACACTTTCCTTTTTTGTCAGTACCACATTCTTCTTTACACTTCTTTATTTGCCTTATTTGGCAAACAAATCTACATAAAACAGTGCCAAATAGTGCCAAACAGTGCCAAACAGTGTACTCTACAGTAAAGTCAAATTTATTTCCTTAAAACTTGTGAAGTCAAAGTGTCAAGGAGATTATGAACCAAAGGGAGTATAAAACAGTGAATATGGACTCAACTCAGAAGCTAATTGTGTTAAGTAATTCGGTGATTACAATAAAACTGCCCGAACGGTATGTCGATACGAGTTTGAATACAATACAAGAGATATGAGTCAATTGCTAAGCTCTGAGTATCAAAATGCTAACCCTTTACAATGTATTCAATACAGGTATTTATACTAAGATGGGGTGGGTGGTTGTTGATGTGGTCGAACCCCGTTGGTTGCTGCTTTTGCCACTTGCGACCCATGCTTCTACTTGCTACCGCCATACTTCAGCATTAAATGAGGCTCCCACTTGCTGACCACCCGTCCGGGTAGCGCGTTTGGTGTGCGGGACCCCCCTTTTGAGGGTGTTTGATGCCAGTACTCTGTTGATTGTCTCAAGTGGACAAATCTACCCGAATATTGTTCAGGTATCCCCCGTTCGGGATGCCCTGGGCCTTTCCGCTTCCGGTAGGCCTCCTGTCTCCCTTGGGCCTTCTTTATGCTTTGGGCCGGGTGGATTGGGCTTGGGCCCAATACCTCAACAGACCCTTAATTCCACAATCCAATCATCCAATTATAATAACATTTTTTAAGATGTCAAACACCTTGCGATTCAAATGAGATCAGTATAACACTTTTAAGAAGGGAGTAAGAGGTTCGAGACCCATTCGAATCAAGTTCTTGGCATTTAACATAATAATATTATAAGACGTGATAAACCGAAAAAATCATATACTCCGTATTTAAAGTCGCATCTGTTCGCATCATAAATCGGAAGAAGACCGGCGACAGAGGGGAGAGAGGAGCGGCGAAGGGAAACCCTAGCCTCCTCCTCCTCTTCCTTCCTTCCTTTCTTCTCTTCTTTTGACTTCAATCGTGGAAAAAGTTTTGTTTAATCAGTATTTTCAGTTCTATCTATACGTTTATTTCCTAACGTTGTCTAGAGACATTATTTTCGGTGGCGAAATGTCGCTCGCCAGATCTATATTCCCCGCCATCATCGGTCGGGTGTTCTTGTGTGCTAGTAAGAGGTTTGTATTGGCTTCTTTATCAATCCTGAATCAGAATTTCTTCTGCATCGATATAGAGGCCGATCGCGCCCCTCCTGAACCACCACCGATCCAGGAAGATGACATTGGATGTATTGCTTTCTTTCTGGTGGCTGGTCAAACCGGAACAATTTCTGCACTTGGCTCCTTACCGGTGGCTGGAAAATCCGCCAAGTTCAATAATTCCTTTTCGGTGGCTGGTCAAGCCGAACCCATTTCGAGTTGCATGAGCATACACACTGCGGTACGAGTCTACATTGTTGCAGGGTTAGCGAACATGAGTGCTTTTATATGGCGTTTTTGTTCTTTGTCTCACCCTAGTGTAGTATTGAACGCTATGATTGTAATGCTTCGGCTTTTAGTTGTTATGTTTCTTATTAAGATCTGATTATCAATAAAATAGTTATTTGATTTTCAAAAAAAAAAAAGATGTGAGAAACCGAGAATCTGAATTATGTTCAAATAAGAAAATGATCTTAAGAGAGAAACGATAATTAATCTGGACCGTTAGATTGTATTATGTGAAATTCAATGTGCATTAGGTGAAATTGAAATGTGCAACACAATGATACAGTGACATTATGTGAAGTTGAATTTCACCTTACCTTCTATTCTGCACATTTCAATTTAACCTAATGCACATTTGAGTTTTACATTTTATTTGGCACATTTCAATTTCATCCGAATTGGAAGCACATTTCAATTTCACCAAATGCATAATTCAATTTCACATATTATAATCCAACGATCCAGATTTATTTTCATTTCTCTTCTAAGAGTCATTTCTCACCGGAACCGCTCCTGAGAGAAAGTAGCCAAAAAAACTAAGCATTTTTTAAGACAAATAGCCGGTGACGTGGCAGCCTGCACTTTGGTGGAATTCATTTAAAACAAGGGTACTTAATTATGTTATTGATTTATATCAACATAACTTTTTGAATAAACAAGATTCATTTTATATCGTTCAAAAAAAAAAGTTATTTCATTTTATATAAGGGTGGGCCGTGGGCCGTGGGCATGGTTTGTAGTACTATCGGCAGTGGCGAAACTAGGGGGCGAGTTGGTGCTGCCGCCCCCTGATCGCCGGAGCTTATAGTGTATATATATGTATATGTATAGATTCAGCCCCGTCTTAGAAATGATAATAAATATTAACTAACCCGTATTTCAAGTAATGGTTGTAGTAGCACGGATGGTAAGAGGGCGCGGCAAGTTTGTGGGAGACGCAGGTTTGATTCTTGCTGTCCATTTTTAAATTACTATGTACTCCAATTAAATTTTCTCTACTTTTCTCTTAACATTTTGGGATGGTATTAGTTTTAATATTTTTATACCACTACAGATTTCTTTTACTTTTATGTTACATTTTTATTTTTACAATTCAAAATATTTATTTTTTACTTCTTCCAATATTATTAAAATATTATTTACATTTTCTATTTAGTGCAATAGTAGTAACAAATGACCCTTAACTTTTTCTTTCCTATTTAAACATTGACCTAAATCATTTTATAAGGAGTTTATAAGGAATGTTTTCAACACTACTTGAATTTTAACATAGTTATTTATTCCTTGATTTAGTACAAGTATGCCAAAATTTCTTCTTGATATTTTAAATATCTACTGTATATGAGTATAATTAGATTTATGTAATACATTTGCAAAATAAATAACCTACAAGTAACATTGATTTGAAAAGAGAAAAATAAAATTACTATTTTCTTGATAAGTTAGTAACTTATATATATTATTAATTTATCTTCTTCTACTTGTTTAGCGATTTTTATATTTAAAAATATAAACCTTGTTATTCTAAAATAAAAGGAGAAGCGTATTAAATCGAAATAAACTCGTTTGATAAACAAGTCTTTTGTTTTGTTTATGCCCTAACAAAACATGTATAAAAATAAATAAATGTCTATTTAAGTTGATATGTATATGTATGTGTGCGCTTGTGTGTGAATTACATATATGTCCAAATAAAGTGTCACTTAATGTCGAAATTGGATTTGAGATCAAATTATCGTAAATATAAACAAAAACGATACAAATTATAGATATTTCCAACTAGCAGTTCGAATTTTTTTGCGTCCCCCCCCCCCTCAAATTTTGTTCTGGTCCTGCCACTGACTATCGGATGGACCTATCACGGACTGTGTAGTTTTAAATGACACCATTACAACAAACACTCAGACACCACACAACCGTTCGAAAGTCACATAAAAAACTAATATCAAATCATCGAATGAATAATGTTTGGAAGAAAAACGATCACTTATTTGATATTTTGATATTAGTTTTTGATATATATTCAAAATGTTGGTAATTCGAACCAAATCGATCCCTAATTATGGTGTGGTCCTCCTATGAATGATGACATGAGTCACATGATTCATACAAAGTGTCTGGTCGTGAAGAAGAGTATTGAAGTTTCACACTGTAAATTTATAAGTAATAAAGTGTTAAATTAACAAAGCTAGTTTTGCTCTTTATTTTATTAATTGTTTTGTAAATTATATTTAAATAATCAAACAAACCTTTTTTGGAATGAAAAGAACTCTAGAAATAAGAGATGGGAAGTACACATGTGCTAACATATTAAGAAAACTCTCCATGAGATTTCAAAATATTTTGACTCTTTTTTCCACAAGATAATTTTACAAAAGACATGAGTATATAAAATAATATTCAAAAGCTTCGATCTAAAAATGAATGAATTATGAAAAAGTCATTTACATAAAAAAAAAAGTCAAAGTATATCTAAAAAGTCTTGATTGAATATTTGAATAATGAATATCTTTAATCAAATAATAACTTGCTGATAATTGATATGAACAATATCACAAGTATGGACTCACGGTGGACTTCAATGTTCTTTCATTTCAATTTCATACCATA